ATCATGTCCACGCTAGTTACGACATATAATTTGATGAGGGTTTGATCCCTTGCTCTTTGGTGTCTGTAGGAACCTCTCCATTGGATATAAGCATTGAGTGCAGCCCTTTGGCTGCTCTTGTTCCCATTCACCCATCCTCCTTACCCTTCCCAGGAAAGTGCTGGGGCAGGATGGCTGTGCCACATCCTGGGACCACCAGGAAACAGCATTTGATGCCACGGCACTGTCTGATGTGGATGGGCTGCTATCAGCTGTCACCATGTTGGGGCTGGGAGCTGTAGCCTCCTCCCAAGCCCATCCCACCTAAGGGAGGTGTTTAAGGACAAGGCGTCTGAGCCACACGGCGGGTCTGCCTGGGTTTGCCAATGGCCAAGGGCTGGTTTGCATCAGGATCCCTGCCCCCTGCTCCAGGTGGCAGTTCCTGGGGACATGTGGGTTCAGCCTCCATGTGGGACTTTGTGTTCTGTCTCCTGTAGCAGCGTTGGGATCATCAGTGGGCACAAGCAAAAGGTGCGAAGGCCAAAATGTCCAGATGTGTCCATCACTCCTGGGCACCACTGGCCCCAGGGACAGTCTTGGATGCTGGAAGAGGTGCAAGTGCTTGTTTTGCTGTAACCCCAAGTCCAGTCTTTCACCCTGGGTGCCCTGAGGGAGGTTCTCACGCCCTTGACCCATCAGGAGGATGCAGGCAGAGCAGTACAGTCCTGCTCCCACCACCAGTGAGAGGCACACAGCCCCTCCATGCCTGACCACCCTCCACGGGGCATGTGCCCCAAGGGGCCCAATGCATGGTACAGATGGAACATAAATACCTCAAATCTTCCATACCAACTCTCTAAGATCTCAACCCCTCCACAAATTCATTCCACACGGTCATGACCTCTCAGTCCAAGGCCCAGCACTGCAGCATCCTCCACATGGCAGCGACATCACGCCCCAAACGACATGGGATGTTGTAAATCCAGCTTGTAAATGATCTTCACTTTGTTTTGTTCGGTCTTTCTGATGTATATCCTGCTTTTTTTTTTGCAGGTGGTACTTTCTGGTGTAACAATTCTCTGCAGTTCTGGTATGAAGTTGGTGTATTTGTTAAAAACAGTTTGTTCTATCCATTTTTTTGTGGTTTCCAGAAGCCCATTGGTGCATTGTACAATGGGATCTTGTAGTGTGTCATGAGAAAGAAAAAACAATATGCAGATATGTTATGGAGTGATTTTTATTTTCAGATGATTGTGTTGTTGACAACTATATATAAAATACATATATAATCAAGATACTAAGAAAAAAATCTAAATTTACCAAAATCTGTATATTTTAATAAATGCATAAAGCTTTCTTGTGTGCCTTTACATTTAAAAATCAGAGGAACTAAGGGATTTGTAAAGAAAGCCAGAGACAAATGTGTCTTAGTATCAGTTTCCATAGTAATGTAAACCTTTTAAATGGAAGACTAAACCAAAAAATAATAATAAAAAAATTTCCCATGTAAATTTTGTTAACTTAATCAGTACCTGAAGGCCTGATATTTTTTCAGTGCTAAATTGAAGATAGAGATGAACAAAATCTTGCCTTAAGTGCTTCAAAATTTCCATTGTAGAAGATCCATCTCAGTGGGCTGAGTTTGGTATTTACGTGCACTGTTGTGAAAGGAAATGGTTATCCACTTACACAATAAAAACAAAAACAAAAACAAAAAAAAAAAAAAAAAAAAAAAAAAAAAAAAAAAGAAGAAAACCCGGAAGCCGATGACCACAGGTTGACTACTGCAGTGTGAAGCCCCAGGGAGCACCAACGTCTTCCCATCTGCTTGTGGTGCTGCTGGCACCCAGTTCCCTGGGGGAACTGGGATGACATGGCACTGTCCCAGCCCTGCATGGGCAACAGGGCCGTGGGGAGGCAGGTATTGCTCATGGGGCCATGGCCACCTCTCCCTTTGGGGTGCTCAGGGCCACTGGTGTCACCCCATGGGCTCCCTCCTTCTATCCCTGCTATTTGAGGAATGGGGAGGCTGCCAGGCATGCTCCCCATCATTGGGATGGGATCACCAGCTCCAGCTGGTCCTGGTGGAGCTGGGGATAGCTCTGCTAGGCATCTAGGACCACCACAGCTCACACCCACCACGCAACGGTTGATGTTAGGCATGGTGTGGAGCAGCTTTCCATTCAAGACAATTATATTTGACGCTATTTTGAGGTTTTGGGTCAGAAAACGAGCACCAAAAGCCTTCATGAGCCAACAGCACCACAGCCAACCCTGTCCATGTGAGCCCACAGGGGAGCAGGGTGTTTTGGGAGGGTGAAAAGCAGGTATTTCAACTTTGATCCTTTTAAAACTAGAGAAGTTTAATGTTCTTTGTGCTTTCTCTGAACACTTCCCCTCTGCAGTGCCAGCACTAATATCCTGTCACATTCTTGGCCCCATCTCCTCACACTCCACAGTTGCCGATGTACATTTTCCCTGCAGCTGCTGCAGGTTGTTTTGCTTTGTTTGTTTTTTTCTTTCTTTCCCTGAAATAAACCTTCTTCCTTCCTCTGAGCAGCTCACCAAGGGTTTTTCAGGGTTGGTTTTGGGGTGGGACACTGGTAACATGTGACATTGGGCAGAGCAAGCAGAACCCCAGTGTCGTCCTTTGCCAAGGGTCCCCAGCCCCATGTGCCTAAAGATCACAGAACAGGTAAGGCTGGAAGGGACAAGGTGAGGAACATGGTGCAGCCCAAGGGTGTGGGCAGCAAAAAAAACCCATAAGTGCTGCCTAGCAGGGCTCATTCCCCATCGGGTCATGCACCTCCAACAGCATCAACAACTTGCCAAACCCCTCCTCAGGTATCTGAGATGTTCCCGTGCTTTTCCCTCCCAGTTTGCTCCAGGGCTGTTTGCAGGGCAGCATTCCAGTGGTTCTCTGCTCCAAGGTCTCCCACATTGCTGTCAGTCCCAGGGTTAACCGGCTAAACCCACGGGCACAATCCACAATCCCCGGGCAGCCTGCACAAGCTGGCACATCTGTGCCCGTGGCACCCACACATCAATGGCAGCACTGACAGCGTCCTCCAGCGCGTACAACAACTGCCTGTGCCCTGCCTGTGATGTCATGGGCACAAGTGTCCTGTCCCCCTGGGCACATTGTGCAGGACGCACAGCTCACACACAGAGACGCGTTCAAGCTGTCGGTGTTAAGGCAGATGCTCGGGGTGCTGCCCGTCCCCGGTCCCGGCAGGCGAAGGGTCACGGTGGAGCACAGTCAGACTGCCTTTGGTTCCTTCTGAATGCTCCAACCTCAGCTTCCCACATGGAGTGGGAGAGGGTGGGAGCTGCAGCATCTTTGCCCATGGCTGTGTTATCCAGCTTGGCTTCTCCAGCTGAAGCAGACTGAGATGAAAGGACTGCCCTGAATCCACAGGGCTTGACTAGCAGCCCCGTTGACTTGCCTCTCCATCACTCCAAACAATTTGATTGCTCAGACCCTCCTCCTCTCACCTCTCCACTGGGGCTCTCCCCTTGCCCATGCCTGAACAGCAACTATTCCTCTTTTCCTTCTGGCTTATACAAATTATTTGAACTGAGTTAACATCTCTGGGAACAAATGGGATTTTGTATCAACATAATTAAATTGCTACAGCCTCTGGTAAGGACAGAGTTAGATCTTGATCTTACACAGTTTTAATCAGAGCCATGACCCCAGATCAGACTCTTATTTGAGTTGAGAGGACTTTCAGCAACACAAAGTCTCAACTTCAGCAGTGCTGGGGGTAAATCTCCACTGCTGCAGAGGGTTTCTAAGTCTCCCCAGCGTAGAGTCCCACAAGTCAGTACCACTGATGCAAACTCTACTGGGAACATTGGAAGAACCAATGGATAAGACAATGGTCAGTTCCACACAGGAACAGTATTCATATTTTAAATATTCCCCACTTAATGCCAAAGCAGAGCAGAATTTTTCATCCTGAACTGCTATAAAACAAACCAAACCACTTCAAAACCATTGAGAAACCCCTGTCATGGAAAAACTAGCTATGGAAACATACAGGAAGGAAAGGAAATAAAGAATTCAGAGGTTGCAGATACTCTGTTATTTATTGTACAGTATTTCACTGAAAGTACAAAGACATCATCAGTACTCACCAGAATTGTATTGTAACAGGTACATTATACTGTGTGTTAAAATGTGCTGCTTTAACGAGGCAAGGCAGAACACAAACTTACAGGAAGAAAGCAAGGAGCTTAAAGAAAAGTAAAAATACATTTTAGTGACTGAGCTGTACAAAGGAAAATAAAACAAACTAAAGCAGAGGGTGGGGGTTAGAGCCCCCAAAGTCATTTATAATATTTAAAAAGGCACTGTTATCTACCGTGTCATTAGGGCCTTTGGGTTCGGTTTCCTTCATACTGATGACTGTTGGGGTGGGGGAAATACTGTTACTAAAATGATCAAACTCATACAAAAGTATTTACAGAGAAAGGCAGAAAAATCCCCTACTCTTGTTCCCAAAGAGAAACATTTGCCCGGTGGGAGAGGACAGCCTTCCTCCCTATCCTCTCTCCCCAACTGTGCCAGAGCCATGACCTTGAGCAGGGGAAAGCAAACAGTGAGGTGGGGGGAGAAGCTGCCGGAGTCCTTCTAACAACGGGAAAGTGCCTCCCTCATTTCTGTTTTATTGCTTCAAACTCTCCTACAATCAAGGGAGCTAGAAAATAAACTAAAAACCCTAAAACCCACACGACAACCCCAAACCATCTGAGTCATCCTGGCTGCAAGAAGATGGGGCAGGTGGTCACGATGAAAACAGGGAAGACCAAGAGGTAGGGCTGGCTGGAGCTGTCATTCTAGAGAAGGGGGGAACAGATGGGGGGAATAATGCTTCAAACTACCAGACATTTGTGCTGCTTTTCTAAATCTCCCCCTGGGAGCCTGACAGCTGAGTGTGTCAGTAGAAGCAAACCCAGGGCACACAAACCCACCAGCCAAAGCATCCGACGGCAGCCGTGGGGCGTCCCCAGGACGCTCACACGTGAGCGCTTTTCGCGTGGGTAGGGGAGCTGGACCCCGAGCCATAGTAGAAGCGATTTTCACCGAACGTCTGGGCATCTCCTGAGCAGCAGACAATGACACAGCCACCAAAGAGGCAGAGGGCAGAGCCGATCCAGCCTGTGTACAGGGAGTAGCCGAAGCTCATGATGGTGGTCTCACGGTGGGCGCACACGGGAAACCAGATCGTCGCGACGACACCACACATGGCTGGGGAGAGAGGGAAAGGAAAGGGTTAGGATTCCCAAGTGGAGGTGGCTCCAGCATGTAACCCCACCATGGCACATGAAACACGCCAAAGGGAGGCTCTGCAGGTCAGGGGACAGAGAGGAAGTCCGTCCCTCCTCTCTTCTAGTCCCATGGCAGGGCACAGGAACATCGACATCAGGGCTGGGTCCAAGAGATCTCTGAGCAGAAGGCAACATGGGAGGCTCATGAAACAGATTGAGAGAGAACAGCCATCTCTCTCAGGCACCAAAAAACAAGAAGGAAAAACAACTGCTGCCTAACACAACCCAATATTTTTATTAGAAGGGAAACAGATTTCTTCCCTAGAATTATCTCTAAAGGGAACAATGAGAGTCATCCCTGAAACTGATGCTCTGGAGAGCCACAGAATTAGGAATATATTAGATATGAGGCAAGGCCATGAAAGCCATACACATCACTGAGAGAGTAACTAACTGAGAGAGTAACTGGTTTAAATCACTGTTTCTGCATGGACTCCCACGCTGTGTCCTCAGCCCATGTCAATCCACATTGTTGCAGTTGCTCTACTGAACGACCACATAAACATCACCAAAATATCCCAGCACACAGCAAGGTAGAGTAAGGGTTTATGAAATAAACCCTAGAGGTGTTCAAGGCCAGGCTGGATGGGCTTGGAGCCACCAGGTCTAGTGGGAGGTGTCCCTGCCCATGGCAGGGGGCTGGAACTAGATGAGCTTTAAGGTCCCTTCCAACCCAAACGATTTCACGAGTCTATCAAATACAGGCAGGAAATAAATAAGCAGCAGTTCAACATTGTCAGGGTTGGGATTTTTTATGGAGAAGGAAATGTTTCACAACTCTGAATAGCAGATTCCACTTCCCTATGGAAAATTTCTGTCAAGTGATGGGGACAAACCCAGTAACGATCTCCTGACACTTTCTGCATTGAATAGAAATGGGACCTGAAGGGTCTGCAGACGGGAAGACAGGACTCAGAGTCTACAATGGGTCAGAAAATGACTGCAGGCTTCACATTTTACTTGAAATTCCACAGGTTTGTTCCACAAAAAGCAGGAAGGCTGTCACAGTGGTGCTGTGAGGGTGGCCCCACAGGGGACATGTGAGGGAGACAATCCCCACCAAGTCCCCACATGCACCGAGGGCAACGGGAGTTGATGGTGTTAATCACCTCCCAGGAGCAGGTCCTAAAACAATACTCCTTGATGGGCTGTACATCTGAGAAGAATTAATCTGTCAATATTTACTTGCCTCCGGGACAAGCTGTGCAGGACTCCATCCTTGTGGCTATCAGAGAATCAGAGCAAAACAATAACAGGACTGTGGCAGCGTTACAGATTTCCACCGACCGCGTTAAAAGGTATCTGGAGGCAGTGTCAGAAAGTTAAGGTTGCAAGAGGGGAAAAAGAAAGGGGTGAGATTAAAAATAAAATTGTTTAGTTAAAGCAGAGAACAAACCATAGCTCCTGGCCAGTACAGCAGAAAACCCATCCCCAAAGCTGCAGTTATTATGAGAGAAAATATTTTCTTATGGAAAGGAGAAGAACATTTGAAGGATGCTAATAAAGCCAGTAATAATTTTGGGCCTCCTCAAAGCAAGGGCCCCGTGGCTTTGGAAGGAATTTTTGGAGAAGGCAGTGGGGGGAGAAGAGCTTTTCTCCTGCGTGTGGAGCAAGTCCTGCAAACAGCTCCTGAGCCTCCAATGCTTTAAAACAAAAATGTATCAGTTGGGAATCCACAGAGCATTCTAATGGGCTCTGGAAACAAAGCTGCTTTGTTGTCCAAAAAAACACAATCATCTTTTCTTTTTCTGTCAG